GATTAGAAATTAAGTGTTAACGAGCAGTTGGACAGGTGTACCTAATAAAGTGGCCGGTGAGTGTATATATTATTAAAATTCTTATATTGTTTAAATGAAACTACATTAAGCATTAGATCCAAACAAAATAAGCTAAAAACTGTTGGAAAAGAAGCATATTTGTAAAACTTATATCAGCACTTTATTGAGCCTAATGTATTTTCATAACTTGCATATCAAATATTTTACCATGAAGCGAGTTTACGAGTAAATTTGTTTCAGAGTATTCAGAGCTTCTCTTTGCCTGCTTCTTTGCTTACACCAAGTTCCAAATTATTATTCARATTGTAYTTACTGTAAGTGTTGTAAAGATGWATGCTTTTGTTGTTTAATTAAACTCATTGATTGTATCGTGTGTCAGGGCTCTTTGGATCACTGAAATCCATCTCAGATACCTGTGATGATGTTTGCCAGGTGAGTCCAGTTAAAGAAAAAACTCCTAAAGAAGAATGTTTCACATTATTAAGTAGACCAGATAAGAAAAAGGATCTCTGCTGCCAAAATGAYGAATTAGTTGAACGCTACAGACAATAGAGACACACTGATAAGAAAATTTCAGCCGATAATGATATCAGATACTGTATTATTATTGCTGTTATATGGCTGATAACCAATATTTACTGATATTACAGAAACACACAAATTATTTATATACATATACACACAAACTCACTAGTGTCTTTTTTGATACTGTAAACAAATGACCAGACCTCTGACATGGCTCTACTTGAGTTATTCCTGGCTGCACAGCGTCAATATCACTATCATGACCAAACAAATACCACTCGAACATCTCCTCTCCCGAAACAGAAACACAAAGTTAGAAAGTAGGAAATSAATATYGGATGTTAATATCGGCCCAGTTTTACTTRTCGGAGCRATACCGRTATTCTAAAAAATGACCAACATCTGCCRAGACCGATACTAATGCTGATTTAAATTGTGCATCCCTAGATGATAACGTTCAATGTTTTACTAAAACTTAAGCGTGATCATCGTACTGTTAAGATATTTGTAGCTGATTCGGAGCACACACAGGTTTGTGCAGATAAAAACACAGTGAGGAAGGTTTCTGCCAGACTAATACATTGGATTAAGAGAGCAGCTGCTAAAATGCCATTACAAAGCAGTAAACTGATATTTGAAGCTGCTGGTGCCTCTGGAGACAACATCGAGGTGTAGGGTCCTCAAGAGGATTGCAGTTCGGCAGGAACCTTCGATTCAGCCACCAATGCTCACAAGCAGCTGCAGTGGCCCCGAAATACATGAAAACTAAATCTTCATGCATTGTGTACCATCTCATGCTGCATCATTGGCTGCTATAGGCATAAAAAGAGAAACTCATGGCGTGGCCCTCATCCTCCCCTGACCTCAACGTTTATTGAAAATGTAACCTGACCTCTTAAGATGTTTTTGATTGAAATAGCTTTGGATTTTAGTAAATATGACCTACTGCTGCAAATTCAACAAATGACCATTTTCAGTTCTTTACAGCGTATAAAATGTTTTGAAACTTTGTTTGACGTAATAATCCGGAGCAATGTATTTTAAGT